TGGTTTGACCCAGCTGAAAACTCCTTTGGCACTGAGTGGCAGTCCAATTATGATCAATTGGCCCTATATGCCAAAGGACTTTACTTTTGAGGAAAGTGTATAAATGAACTGTCCTCCATCACATCCATGCTATGCTTAGCCTCTAAAGCTTTATACATCTAATAGCTTTATGTAACACTAGGTGTCAAATCAACTGATGATATCCAGGATATCAGGTCTTTGCCTCAGTTGAAACTCAACTTGTTTTAGTTCTAGTATTTTGTTTGTGACTAACCACATGTGGGGAATATTTTACTTAATACAGAGGGCTGATTTCCTCTGCCCAAAGGCATCCACTGGAAACAACCATTAGAAAGATAAATGTTCATACAGTGGTCACAACTTCTCAAGAAGAACATTACATGAAGTGCTGCCATTACAGGAGTTTTTAAGCCGATAAAGTCTCAGGAAGTCTATTGGTGGTACAAAGACACTACCCACCATGCTGGCAACCCACCTTGGTAAACTCTGATTTTCTAGCTATATTGAATGTACAGTGGAAGCCTGTTGCAACCTCTATGTAGTGAATGTGATGTTCGAGTTGACCCTTAAGTAATTATGACTCACCATTACACACACATCTCATTTACAAACCTAGAAGAAGTCCTTACATAAACACAGCATAGTCAAGGTCATGCTCCTTCCCAGTCAAACTTCTTGGCAAGTCCACCATCTATCTATTGATTATAATGCCACTCGGTGATTCATTATTTGTATTCAAAAGGTTCTGAGGTCTGGGAGGAAACAATGAGATTTCTGTGGGTATACTTTGAAAAGTGTTCCGAAACGTTAGCTTGTCTAAAGAGCTGCAGCCAAATTGTTAATCAGGTCTGGCTGCAGGAAGCAAACGACTCGTACTTCCCACCCCTGTTGCAACTAAATAACTGCCAGTATATTTCTGGATAATATTCAAAGTACATCTCCCAGTACTAACTTGACCTGGTCCTGAGATCCTCAGAAGAGTAAGGGGCTCCTCTCAGTCACACCACCATCACAAACATGGTTGGCAGGACCGTGAGAGGGGGCCTTTGTGGTGACTGCCCCTGATCTCTAGAACTCTATGTCCAAAGAGACCAGAATTGCCCCATCCCCGCTTTTCTTCTGGCAGTGGGCTAAAACATTTATTTTTAGACAGACCTTTAAAGAAGAACATTTTTAAAACTGAGACAGAGGATACTGACTGGTGTTTATGTATTTTAATATTTTTTCAATAACTTTAATGGTTTTAACTATTTATTTTTAATACTCCTATATTTAATTCTATTTTAATGTTTATATGTTTTAAATTTAAACTGTACATTTTAACATTGTTGCCACTTTGAATCTTTAAGAGTGAAAA